ACAGATATATAATCATAATTTCAAATAAAACTTTAAAAATATTTTGATAAACCATAGAAAGCAATACCTAGAAGTGTGACACGTGGGTACATTGAAAATATTTGAAGAATTTATCGACAAACAAATGCACAGGCAAAGTACAGGGTGACAGAGGATTTCAAGTACTATCAGAATATATAATTACTTTTGTAAAAAGTATTTCCTTATTCATAATAACTTTAAAAAACGAATGAAAAAGAAAGAAAAATGAAACTTGTGGAAATCTGAGGATGAGCGTGTCTTCATTGTACTCGAAATATTTTTCAGCAAATAAGTACAAGGCTAGACATTTATATACAGGGTGATAGAGAATTTCGAGCGCTATCAGAATATGGGATTATTTTTGTAAAAGTATATCTTCATAAGGAAAATATCGTGAAAAAACTGTGTGCAACTATTTCTTTCCAGACGTATATATATTCCGTTGAGAACACAGTTTTAGTCGTGTTCTTCACTTATTATAAGTAAACAAATGCATGTTAAAGTTTTAATTATATATTCCGGTGTCGCCCTAAGTTGTCCATCTTCTGGCAAATATCGTTCAAGTTTCTTGACCGTGCATGCAGGCTGTCTGAATACAACGTATTTTTTCGTTTCATTTTTGTTTTCAGTGATGTTAACGCACGTTTGATGATAATGGTGATTCATTCGTTTATAAAGAGTATAAAGAAAAACATTCTATATTGAATAAGTAGTCCGTACAAGCAAAACAATAACGAAGAAGAAATACTGAATGACTGTTAAAAGAAAACAAGAAAAAAAATTTCGAAGCCCTTCTTCTATGTGAAACGAGAAGAAAAACAGAGAAAAGCTATAAAAGAATTTTCTGCATAACAAGATGAAAGTTACACGTCAATAATAGATAGTACGAAGTAAAACTATTCATCAAAATAAAATGAGAAAAGTTATCAACGTTTTAAAACAACCAATTAACCACAATGAGTTGTCATTCACATTAAACATAAAATTATCAAAAAATCCTGAGAAAATAGGTAATCTCATCAATGAAAAAGCACCACCGGGTGCAAAAATAATGGATATTACTGTTAATCGTATTTCTATTGAAATTAATGAAGAAAATATTGATATGACTAAAGTTAAGAATATTGATTTATTCATTGAAGAATATAAAAATGAATTAACTAATGATGAAATCGAATATAATTGGATTATATTTAATGAAGATGAATTAAATTCTTTAGTAGTTCATGTATGGAATAAACCAATCATTACATTTTTATCACCTCTTTCAAATAATCATAGTAGTGAACGAGATATCATTGTAGCGGCTGTCAGAAAAAGAAGTAACAACTTAACCTCTGTCAATTATCCACCGTACAATCTTTATAATTCATTACAAAAGAAAACATATACATTTGAAAATGAATATGCAACAGTCAAACAATTTACTGATGCAATTATTGATTTTGAAAAATTAACCAGACCAAATACAAATTGGTTTGGTGGTGTTGATATTCATCATATTTTTTACGAAGGAATTCGTGGTGATGGTAAAAATGGTTATGAAATTATGTGGGGTAGTTAATTTTATGATAATAATTCTTCGAACTACGAAATGACCCTGTATATGCAATAGTAATTTTGTTCATTACATAAGACTAGTCATTTTAATTGTCCAACGACTGTTATTGAACATACTGATTATAAAATTTTTATGATTTAAGAGTAACAAGTAACAACAAAGTGTGTACGCTAATTGTCAAGTTTTTTTTATTGTACTTAAAAGACTTTTTTTCTAAGAATCAAACTGAATGATTTTGAGTCTATGTTCAATGAACTTTCTCATTTAATGGGTACCGCGGATTTCCGACAGGTAGCGAGACTTCGACAGAGACATTCGACACTACCGAGTCCTCGTCGCACTGGTCTCGCGACACCTGTGCATGTAACACCCTATATTGAGTATTTGAATTACTGCTCAGAAGAGAGATTAGGATAGATAGAAACGCAAGGGGGAAACACCGTACTCCGCCACTCCGCGGAGTGAACTTTTACTCCGGTTCACTCTGGAGTGGACGGAGTGACAAGTGGTATACTCTCTTCTCTCGCATTTGATATAAGCTATTTATTTTAAAAAAAAGAAAGAAATCAGCAATTTATACTATCTCTACCCACCGAAATAGAGACAAGCCCCA